AATACATTATTTTTTTTCTCGCAGTCTCCTTTTAATACAAGCAGCAAACATGTTTACCACTAAAGTCAATAATATTCTTTTACTGTTAAATTTGAAAGAATACAGTAATGAACATCTCTGAAATAATGTGCTATAATTGTAGAAAGTTGTCTACTCGCATGGATATATATATATATATATATATATATATATATATATATATATATATAAAATTTTTTTTCCTAGTGAAATTAGTGATAATTTTGAAAGATAAGATAAATATATTCATATGTTCTTATATAGTAATCTCTCAAATCCAACCTACGTTTTTAATTGATTCTCGTTCGTTTCTAAATGTATCTGAAATTTTTGATCTATCATTCTAGCTTATTTTTCATTAAAAAAATGAATTAAATAATTTTTTTGACTGAATTGACTCCGTATGAAAAAAAAAAAAAATAGTCAAAAAAAAATAACGACAACTAAAAATCATACATACACGACACATGTGAAGCACTACCAAAACTTAACTCATATTTTTTTCCTCCTGTGAAGCCCTAAATCATAAAAAAGAAAACAACAATAACAAACGAACTTTGCAATTTAAAAAATAGAAAGTAGTAGCAGTCTCCTCTTTCATCTGTAAATTTTAAAATCTCTAACTCCAACCATTTTCCATATTCTCAACTCTTTGATTCCCTCATGGAATTAAAAATTTCATCCTACGGATCAAGATATCCAGCTCAATCACCATTTGAATATCGTTATTGTCAATGTAGAGAACGAGCTATTGTCAATGTAGAGAATGAGTTCAATTGAAGACGACATGGACGAAAAAGAATTATAGAATAAGGTTTTTTCAGTTGTCCAAGGTAGAAGGAGAAAAGTAAGGCTTGTGGATTTTGTGAGTTTGTTGACTCATATTGGTGCGAACATGCTGCTTGAGTTATGCCAAAGGTATTTTTAACAATTGATGAGTTGAAGAGAGACAATGAAGTGAAGGCTTTGAAATATAGGATTTATGAACAAGCATTAATTGTTTCATAGGGGTTATTTGTTGCTAGTTGGGCATGAGTTTTCTGAGTAATGTCCAAGAATTGAAGTCTGGGTTATTATTCACATTGGATGCACATTGTTTATGGGTTGCTAATATTAACAATGTCTACGCATACTTTTGTGATGTTTTTGTTGATAGATGAGTTGCATATTATGTAGTTTAATTGTGAGTTAGTGTTGTTTTCTGGTCTGTACTGTTATTTTATGGGTTTATAAGCAATGGCATTATGAATGAATCTCTGAATTTGATAGTTTATTTTTATTAAGTTATGTTTCTTGTGTTTGAAGAAAGAATGAGTTAATAAAATTTGAAATGGTGATTGTTTGGTTCATAAAATTAGATTGTGTCTCTATAATTAACAAAATTAGCTACCTTCTTACAACAATCCTCTATTTCAAAAAAACTAGTTAAGTCAGGATCTACACCATCTCCTACATCTTTTTTTTTTTTTCCTCCATTAACTTAAACTGACACCATTTTCACTAATTATTTAACCCTTAAGAAATCACTTCATGGCTGGGTCTCCATGCCATTATATATGTTAAAAACTCAGAAACTATCCATACAAATAAGAAAGTAAAAGACATTCGTTCAAACAAACTAAAGTAGAAAAAACACATACATGTAAAACTAATTCAGCAAACAAAAATTCGTTTAACCAAATATATATATATATATATATATATATATATATATATCAAAGAACGTAGAAGTACAATGTACATTTCTTGTTAAAAATCCAGAAATTACCCATACAAATATGAAAGTATGAATTGATTTAAACATACTAATGTGATTAAAAAAAAAAAAAAACACATACCCATAAAACTAATTCAACAAACAAGCATTTATTTAACAAAAATAAAAAAATAAATAAAGTCAAAGAAAAGAGAAGAAAAATGTACCTTTTTTGTCACATCATTGTAACAAACACTGCGCGTCCAAATGTTTTCAATAAACACGATTCAACATGCAAATTTTATAGATTCATAATCGAGCTTTGTGTTTTGACGCATTTTAGTTTTGGTTCGCTTGGATTTTTAACTCTTCGTTTGTGCGCATTTTAGTTTATACTTATACAAATTTAATATATAAAGATATATAAAGATAGATGAGTATTTTTTTTCAAAAAGAAAAATAAAATACTAAAATTTAGTACTTAATTTTGTTTGGACTTTTATATAAGAGACGTAAATTTTGGGAACATTTAAATAAGAAAAGACGAACTTTCTTTGTGGTACAATGGGAGTAACTAATGATTTACTACTAACAAACTTTGTAATTCAAATAGGTAAGTAATAATTTCAAAGAGTTGGCGTGATGATTGAAAAAATGTGTTCCATTCATTGATTTCTTTGGTTCAAATCTTGAGGTGAACGTATAAAAAAATTTATTAAATTTTTTTAAATATATTAGATCAATATAAAAGGTATGGCTTTAAGACCGTTTGGATAAAAAAATTAATTTCAAACGATGCATAAAGTAGTCTAAAAATATTCTTTATTGTTAAAAGAAGGTAAGTCGTGTTTAGTCAAAATAGATAATTTTTCCCAACAAATTACAAACTATCACACATTAATTATGATTAAATAATGTAATCAAACACTTAAAGTAATTTCAAACACAATTAGTCATGTTTTATCGCATTCACATGAAGTAAGAAATGCATGGCTGATAAGTAATTTTGGTGCCGAGTCTTCAAAGTTGAAAGGTTTGAATTTGCCATTCATTATAATTTAATTTTCTTTTAAATTTTATACGTAACAAATTTTGAAATATTTAACAAGAGAAATAAGAAGCAGTTAATAACTTAAAAGTCATAACCTTTGAGGGTTTCTTCTCCAGCTAAAGATATTCTTTGCTCAAGCGTGTGATATGTAATGGAGGTTTCCGTTGATTTCATGCTCATCATCCACGACTTTGCATGACTATTTGAAGCTACTATAATCAACCCTACCACCAATTTCTTAATGCTATAATTTATTCCTTTTATTTTGCTTTTGTAGTTAATTTCTCAAAGCCAAAGGAAGAACACCCTGATTTTCTTGCGACCCACCACATTAAAAAAAAAAAAAAAAAAATGCCCAGTTGATAGAAAATTGAGTAGGGCACACGAGAGGGGAGCTATGCAATTATATGACCAGCCATGTGAGAGGGAGGAAATATAATGTACACTTAAGTAACTAAATTATTATTATTATTATTATTTAATAAAATAAGAGTTTAGAATTCTTGTAATTATACTTATAATTTCTTTTACTATAAAGTAGTGAGAGATTATTTTTCATTATACAGTTCAAAACTCGTTAAATTTCTTAATAAATAAATAAATAAAATCATAATTTATAATATAATAATTGATGTTGTAAAACATTGTTTGATTATCAACAATACATTATACTAATATGAGACAATATGAAAACATTGTTTTGCGTGAAAGAGATTGAGAGTAAAAATGTTCATAAACTTTTCTGTCCTCCAATTAATGATTTTACAAGATAAATTAAAGTATATGTATTAAAAAAATCAAGTTTAATTCAACAATATTGAGTTGAATGGAAAAAGTTCGATCGTTTAAACGAGATGATTTTAAATTTGAATCCTTGTGAATATAGTTATGTCCATCTTGTGCACCCGATAAAATAAGTAACGATTAATTTGAGTCTTTGCATTTGAGATACATTAGAGATAAAAAATAAATAAAATAAATGAGACTTAAATACCTATTTATTTAATTTAATTTTCACATTTCTTTTTAGGCTGAGACAATAAATATTTCAAAGCAATGGGCCGAAGTAGTGTTGATATATGTGGTAGGCCATTGGGTGGGGGCAGTGGGAATTGGGCAATGAGCCCATAACCCACACCTATTTATAAATGAGACTTAAATACCTATTTATTTAATTTAATTTTCACATTTCTTTTTAGGCTGAGACAATAAATATTTCAAAGCAATGGGCCGAAGTAGTGTTGATATATGTGGTAGGCCATTGGGTGGGGGCAGTGGGAATTGGGCAATGAGCCCATAACCCACACCTACTTGCTGCACGAGAATCAGATATTTTTCATCAACCAAAAATCAATTAATAAACATAATAATAATAATAATAATAATAATAGCAATAATAAAAGGATAACTTGTCACTATAAAATAGAATAGAAAACCTTCTTTAGTCGTGCCCCTTGTACCATATTCAGGCTAGTCATTAAATTTTCTTTTTCTCCATTTTCGGAAACTGATTTATGGAAATCTACAAGCTGTCTCTTTGTAATTAATTTTATATTTTCCTAATTATGGAAAAAAAAAAAGAAACAAAAGAACGATTGAATGAAAATATTGTTTTTTTTCAAAAAAAAAAAAATCTACAATAAGTGCATATGTTATTCATAAACAAGTTATTTAATGAAACAGAAAAGGATAATGGATTCTTTTTAAAGTTTTTCGAGTTATTATATTGGACGATAATCCAAATGGAAGTTGGTAAGAAAAAAATTGTTAGAATTGGAACATAAATAACCAATGTAATAGTACTAAGTTAAAAAAGTGAGAGAAAAACAGAGATATAGATTTCATGAATCAACAACGATTGAAATTGAGGTGTTGACATTTTAAAACAAGAAAAAACGAAGAAAGATCTTTCATCCGTGTTTCAAAGAAAACAGGTGGAGAGAGAAAATTGTGACCGAAGAAAAATATGCTAGTCATAAGAAGCTTTAAATGCTAGTTGGTTGATGAGGCTTTCATTTCTTCTCATCTCTCTTCTTAAGGACTAAGCATACTCGAAATTAAACCCACCACCACCACCATCATCGCCCGACCTTTTAGTGTATAATATATATAGTCTTTGTTTAAAACCCAAATCTGAACAGATCAAAACAAAAGCTATAGTTACCCTTTTGACAGGATCTTCTCTTCTTTCTTTCTTTTTTTCCTAGTATTTTGTGCAATTTAGAATCCTTAAAAATGGAGGTTTATCCATACGCATCTCGTTTTCCTATGTCTTCATTGCCTTCTTTTGGGAATTTTGTTGATAAGGTTAAAGAAGTTTGTAACTTTGCTGTTTCTGCTGTCATTGGCAACATATTTTCTGCGATCTTGACCTTTTTCTTTGCATTAGGTTTGCTTTTGTCTCTTCTTCTCATTTGGTTTCTTGGTTTTTTCTTTTTCTCTCTCATTTCTTGATTGAATGGCATGTTTTGTTACCTTTATGTGTTTAATGTTCTCTGATCTGGGTTTTGTTGGGTATCGGTTTTGGGGTTTCTATTCAAAATCATCGATTCTCTGTTCCATTTTATAAGGTTTAATTCAAGGAGTTGAGTTTAGATAAGATTATGATGAAAAAGATTGGAGCTTTAGGGAACAAATGATCTTGATATAATCATAAAAAATTAAAAAATTGAACTTGATATCATTGTTTTATTTGATTCCTGTGATGGGAAAAAAAAAAAAAAGGTTTTTGCATATAGACAAAAGGGGTTTGGGGCTCATGCTCTTTTTATTCATGTTCATGCAGACGATGGGGTTGTCTGACTTTTTAGAATTATTAAGGTTATGGAAGACTTCATTTATAAGAACTGTTTGGTAGTTTGGAAGTTTTCGTTGAAGGAATTGGCATTGTTGTGTGCAGTGGGAACTTTGCTAGGTGCCATGACTGGGGCATTGATAGGCCAAGAAACTGAAAGTGGGTTTGTTAGAGGGGCTGCAGTTGGAGCTATATCAGGAGCTGTTTTCTCAATTGAAGTATTTGAGTCGTCTCTTGTTCTTTGGCAATCAGATGAATCTGGGGTTGGCTGTGTGCTCTACTTGGTGAGTAATTTTAGCTTTTCTATAAGCTCTTGAAGTGTAGGGATTGGCTATGAATTGTTGAAAGTGAATATCGACTCTCATGTTTGTGCTATATATTTGATGCTTTTTATGAATCCGATGTCCATGGTTAGCTGAGTGATCTGATTTCAAAATTTGAACCCAATTAAAGTAAACTTTTAATGTGGGCAGATTGATGTTATCGCAAGCCTTCTTAGTGGGCGACTTGTTCGTGAACGCATTGGTCCGGCAATGTTAAGTGCAGTACAAAGTCAGGTAATTTGGGATCCAATGCATTGTTGTTGATGGATTTGACATCACCGTCCATGTCCATTATGCTTTGCTTTCATCTTCTCTAGTTACTAGATGTTACTTGTTAGTTCATTCTTTCCTCACAAGTTGAATTCATTCCATAATTCAATAGATGGGTGCTGTGGAAACAAACTTTGAGGAGATCCCAAGCATCTTTGACACTGGTGGTTCCAAGGGATTACCTGGAGACTCTCTTGAAAAGATACCGAAGATCAAAATCACAAGCAATAATAACGTGGATGCATCAGGAGAGAAAGTCTCGTGTTCAGTTTGCCTTCAGGTTTGGTCATTTTTTCATGAACTACTATTATTTCCATATTTTCCTTTCCCTTCTAGATGGTTACTAGATGTGTGATTGATTGACATTTTGATTGTATAATGCATACAGGACTTTCAGCTGGGAGAGACTGTTAGAAGCTTGCCTCATTGTCATCACATGTTTCACCGCCCATGCATAGATAAGTGGCTCCTTAGGCATGCATCCTGTCCTCTGTGTAGAAGGGATCTGTGATGATATTCTGTAAATTACAAGATGAGAAATGTTACTTTTGATGTGTATACTGGCATTACCATTCTTGGCTTCTGTATTTTGTTAATTCAGATTATTACTTCCTCTGTTGCCGTAGTTGTTTCAGTATGCCACACCGTTGGCTCCATCCTTGTACTAGATCTAGCGATATGTAAAAAAGTTTTGATTCCAATTTTAGTTTGCTTGATATGTTAAACAATCAAACCCTTTTGCTTCGTCTGTTTAAGGATGACAATTAAGCTAGTGATAGACCAGCATGTGAAGCCAAGAATATTTTGATCATTGGGGTTATGGAGATTAAATAGACCATCAGAACAGTAGACAAAGTTACTGAAAAGTTAAATCTTGATTAAGGTGATGTTACTTTCTGAGTCTTGGGATTCTCCGTTAGAAGGCGGGTAATCAACCCAGGATGAACAAGATCCTTTTTGATCGAGAGAGATTCCAGTACTGAACTACTGCCCTTGCGAGCGATGGGATCTCATGCTTGTAGATCCTTTTAGCATCAATAATGCAAGGCACCATACTCTCTCAATAACTCTGACAACCTGAAACTCCACTCAGATGCCATTATACCAATAAATAGGTTGGTCTTGCCTCTTTAAAACAGCATTAATACACTATAGCTACCTGTTTCTTATGAAGCCGCAAAGACAAACCTATTTATTGATTTCTGCAATAAATGTACATATATGGAAACTGATAAGGGTTGGTTAGATATTTCAGCCTTCAATTTCCCATAACGGAATTGGATAATATGGGAGGCCATCAACTTCTGTGAAGGCTAGTCATTGAATTCTTTCTATAAACTGGTCAGAAATTCATAATCAATGAGACATTTCTAGTAACAGGGTTTTGTTCTGTTAAAGAAATGAAGACTGACCAAGTTTCTAACTATACCAAATAGTTGGTGAAAACCTTTGAAAATGTCAACGTAGCAGGGCGATTTTTTTCTTTATAATTGGGCCAACTCTGCAGCAAATTAATTCCTTTCATAGAAAGCATGAAGTTGTGTAACGCCCTAACTCCCTTACTATTTCTTAAATAGAAGTGACTAGGTTCATTACATTATTTAGACTAAAATCTCGACTAATCCTTATAATACTCGATCGTAAATTAATAAAATATTAAAATATGGAATACATATAATAAAAGTTACGCTGGTATTACTAAATCAAGTCACGGGAATTACAAAATATCCACGATGTCGATTACCAACAAATAGATACCACATTACTTATCTATAACTCTTCAAAAGATTCTTATAATCTCGAGTAACACATGAGCCCTTTTAGTGAGAATCAGCGACCTCCTCGATAGAACCAGCTTTGTCCTTACCGTTATACCATGAAATAACAACAACGATATGAGTCAAAGCTCGGTAAGTAAGGTGATACACATGCTATGCAATAATTTCTTATTACCCTAAATTCGTCTATTCATTTTAATTCGGGTACCCTAGGTATTAGCAAGCTCGTTCCATTTCCATATCTCGGTGATTGCCTTATCATCTACCGATAACAACGAAATTTTTCATTGTTGTAACACACGGTTAGCGAAATTTTCCATCGCTTAACGGTGTAACTAAGTAATGGAGCACGCATATAGTTTCATCGTTAATACCCATTTAAACTAGTGTTGGTGATCAAACCTATCGGTCCTTAACCATCTAACTTTTCAATATACCCATAATGCATATGATGCATAATGATGTTTCATTTACCATATCCGTCAAGTCATAGGTACCAAATTCTTCCCACATATATGACTTAATGCATACCTCATATACCCCACATAAATATTTAATTAAGAAAATAAATTACCATGAAATATAATTAATTAATCAATATAATTAACCTTTTAATATAATTCACCTCACCCCATTAATATATATATATACACACACACACACACACACACACACACACATAATATTTATCACACCCCATCCTATAGCTTATTATGAATTTATTTATTATATAACATATTAATTAATCGGTACCCCTATTTAATTATTAATGTAGCCACATGTATAGGATAAGTTCATCTTTTAATATAATTAATCCACCACTAAGACTTTAATCAATCACACTCCTAAATATATATATATATATATACATACACTCCCTATTTAATAACTAAATCCTTATTCACTACTTAATACCAAAATTGTCCACACCAGTTATTCACCTCAATTTAATTCATAACACTTAATAATTAATAACCTCCAATAATTAATATGATTCTATATTATTCTCTATAATTATTCTATACACCAAAGTTTGTTCTTCTATACTATTACTACCCATCCACCCCTTTAATAAATATCTTCTCATCATATGATTAATAAGTAATCCCATTAATTCTTACTATACCAACCCACCATATCAAATTTATTCCTCCCATGTCCACATCAACAATTAGTCATTCCAAATCAATTCCATCCAAGCACATCAACTCACCAACCAAACCCAATAACTAATATTAAGATATAAAACAAAGCTTTATCAAAATTAATAAGTATATGAATAAATAATCAAATACTCTATATAAACCAATAAATTCATATCAAGCCATCAAAACTCACAACATCCATATAAAAAACTCATGGAAGCATAATCATCAACTCAAATAATTCACATAAATTAAACACAGAATTTAAATTTGTGGTGTAAAATAAATTTCTACTTGGTTTAAGTTTCCTAGAAAATCTCTTGGTTTTTCTTCTCCTTTCCTTCCTTTTTTCTTCCTCTTTTCTTCTTCCTTTTTTTCCTTCTTGTTCGACCTTCTTTTTCTTTTAGTGAGCTGAAATTTTTTTTTCTTGCTAAAAGAGGCCGGCCATTCATCTTGGCTTTTCCTTTTATTCTTTTTTTTTCTTCCCTCATTAATGAATTTAACAAATGTATTAATCTAAGTTTATGAGGTGTAAAGCAATAGAAGAAATTAGAAGCTTAGGTGGCAATTCTCGGATAAACACCAAATATTAAAACCATAAAAATATAAACACCCACATCTCAATTAATTTTTTTTTTCTTTTACGGGAGTTACAAGTTGAGTGTTCAAGTCCAAAGTTTCAGAGATTAATTTCCTGAATTGATTTTGGTAAAATTACATACTTTAGATGCATTATTTGAAGAGCAGACTCCAATGCATGGTTCTTGAGTAAATGCTATGTATCTACTCAGCAGTCTTGTGGTCCTCTAGATCTGCTCAGCATTTTTAGTACATTAAGTATATAAATTTTTATTTTATTTTATTTTATTTTTGTTTTAGTATATCAATTTTTAAAAAATTTTCAATCAAATGTTTCCGTCCAAATTACCGTAAATTCAGTTAATTGAAAAGATAAAATTATATTTTTAACCTTATTTTTTCTTCTCAATCGAACTGTCTGTTATAAGTTTAATATTCATTTTCCTTTCTTCACCTGTTTCTTCGCAATTTTCTTCTCATTAGTAAATCTTCCATACAAGGGGAGGGGAAATCCAAGGCGGAGATATCTGAGAAAGCTGGCTGCACATGAACAGAAATTGAGTGAGCCTTGGTGGCTCCATAGAAACAGAATGGATGCTCACATCATTTTCTATCATCCTGCTTCTCATACCACAACTCCTAAGAGGGCTTCTCATCTCTCCCACCTCAAATTCTCCAAGAAACTCAACTGATGACACTCGGCTTTGGTATTTTACTTTACAGTTTTCTTCCACTGAATTAGTAGAATTTGTAAATGGCACCAGGTTCTCGGTGTTCTTATCTGCTTCTGAAGCACACATCGAGGTGCATTTCTATGCTTTAACAGGCTCGAAACTAGGCTGAACGACTGGAGAAGCATCCTTTTGAGCATTTCTCTTCCTCTTAAAGTGAAAAGCCAACGCCAAACCAGTAATAATTGAAAACAATGTGGAGGACACAACCACAACGTTCTCTTTCTTAATCCCTTCCTTCAGGCTGCTTCATCACTTTGAATCTCATAGTGTTTGGCATGATCATAAGTGGTATTCCAGATATTACTGATTTCGCCATCAACCACTTCTTGTTTGACAGGCTCCTTAGCAACCTCATTTTCTTTCTCAAAATTCTTTGGAATTCTAGATAGCATAGCCAAAGAATCAACCCCATCATTTATGATTGGACTTTCAGACATTATTATAGCTTTTGTTCTCTGCAGCTCAGGATTCATTCTAACCTCATTTATCAGAGACCTCTCCTGCTTTCTCTCCTCGAGGGAAGAAAGAAAGGAGAAGAAGGAGAAAGGAAAATGAAAATTAAACTTATAACAAACAATTCGATTGAGAAGAAAAAACAAGGCAAAAAACGTAATTTCATCTTTCAATTTAACTGTCACATCATCCGTTAAAGGTATTGATACACTAAAAAGATAAATAAATAAATAAATAAAAATTGATATATTTAATTTAAAAAAATTCAAAATTAATGTACTGAAAATGTAATTATCCTTTTGGAATTTTGAATAGTGTTGAAACCTGAAATAGGAATGATTCAGGACTAAACCACCATGGAACCTGTTAATGCATATTAAGCCTGAAGATTAAACATCTGAAATTTATCAGAAACTAAGAAAATTCTCAAAGTAATTTTATTGGTTGATTAAATGGTTTTCTGAAACTTTTTTTTTTTTTAATATATTCAAAGAATTCCTAATTATAGGATACATAAAATCCTAAACAAAAAAAATAGTTATCCTAAAATGCCTATGTGGTCCTACTTTATTTTGATTGCTAAAAACATAAAATTGCTTCAAACATAACAACATAATATTAAAAATAGAAATCCTAAACATAAAATTAGCTTGTATGTCACTCTATTCATCACAGGATTAGAAAATCATATAGTTCTTGAGTAGATTTATTAGAGGCGTACATTTTTCAGCTCAAACCGAATCGTCATAATCCAATTCATTCGATGTTTGATGTGTTCAGTTTGGCAATTCGCTTTTAATTTCGGTTTGGTGTAAGAATTTGTTTTAAAAAAATAATCGAAAAATAAAAAATGAAAAATCAGAATATTTCAGTCTACACAATTCAGTATTTCATAAATTCGATTGGATCCAGAAAAAAAGTGCAAGAGCTACAGAAGAAGGTCCACCTGATAGTGTTGTAATTAACTTGATAGAAAGGTCATTTGGAATGGAATCAGAGACATGTCACCAGAATGATCTGAAAAATTTAATGTCTTATGGTCCTAAAAGACAAGATTCATATCAATGTCTTATGATCTTATTGGCCCCTTGATTCAACAAATAAATTGGTTTATGATGAATTAGCTCACCAGCAACCTCATTAAATCACCAGGTCCTTCGTTATCTACTATTCATCCAGGGCTAATTCTTTAATCCTAACCATAGTTGGTCTTTTCGAAACATCAAATGCAGGCAATTGAAACAGATCTAGACCAATTATATATGATTGGTTGGCATAAGTAGGTGCCAACATATTTTTCTTTTGATCCTAAAGACTTGAACTACAAAATATATATAGGATAAACCTTACCTAAATTCTAAATTCTAAATTCCTCTTTTCACCTTTCCTAGTTTTAACCCGATATCTTCTAGTTTAACTTTTATATTTTAACCACAAGGTTATTTATTTATTTATTTATTACGGGTTTAAAAGGTAATGAACTATAAAATATAATTTTTTTTTAATTTTTTTTCGTCAATAGTATATCTTTATATTAGTTTTAATGTCAATTGAGATTAAATCCACCATTTTTTGGATTGGATCATGTATAAAAATTAAGCATCACCATCCAATATTTCACTCCTTTCAAGATTAAACTTGATACCTTTAGCTCAAAATTTCAAATTTTTAATCACTAATGCATCTTTGAAAAATTAGAACATATTATCAATACCGACATTTAGAGAACTTTTAAAAAATTTTAATTAAAAATTATTTATTGGTTTGTTTATTTACTAGAGATATGAGTTAAATTACGTTTTTTGAGTTGCCATCTAGTATTAAAGGAACTAGAAAACCTAAAATTGACATTGGTTCGGAGATTCTAAAATAAAAAGTTGGTTATACTTTTAAAAAGATATCAATCACCAAAAAGAAAAAAAAATTCCTAAAAAAGCTAGGAAACGTGCCATTGCTAGTTTAATTCTAGACCTTATCTCCTAAAAAATCTATTTTTTCCAAATTATTTACGGGTCAACTTCCAAGTTTGTTTCTTAAGCAAATTGATTTTTTTTTCGATATCATATTGAATCAATCGTCGAACCCTATCGACGGGAGTCTCGTCAATTCAATATCGGGTCCAATTTAAATCTCGATATAATCGGTAAGTTAGAGACCGACCTAATTATTAAAATGTGATTGATTTGAATTAACATCAATCCGTATTAGATAAAATACTTGTAAATTTCACCTAACATTTCTTTGTATTTTTTTTTTTTTGTCTTTTTTTCCTATCATTTTTTACCATTTTCTTTTCATTTTTTTGTTTTCATTTTTTTTTCAAGGTTGGTAGAGAATCGTCATCGGTCCCTAAAAATTAGGAGACTCGATGATCCACCCACCTATTAATTACCTAATTAAACTAATGGTTATTTAAGCAATATTCAACATTAAATAAATCTAAAATTAAATTACCAAAACCATATATATATATATATATATATATATATATATAATAAATCTAAAATTAAATTACCAAAACCATATATATGTATATGTATGTATGTATGTATAAAATCCACAACTACATTTTTCAGATTTAATCAATATTAAATACTAAGCTAAACTAAAATTTAAATACCAAGCAAAATTAATAAACAAGCATTAAACCAAATAAATCGAAATGAAAACATGAAGCACGCCTAAAAATTTCAGATTCAATTAAGCAATATTCAACATTAAATAAATCTAAAATTAAATTACCAAAACCATATATATGTATATGTATATGTATATGTATGTATGTATGTATGTATGTATGTATAAAATCCACAACTACATTTTTCAGATTTAATCAATATTAAATACTAAGCGAAACCGAAATTTAAATACCAAGCAAAATTAATAAACAAGCATTAAACCAAATAAATCGAAATGAAAACACGAAGCATGCCTAAAAATTTCAGATTCAATTAACCTAGGGAAATGGCAAAAAGAAAAAAAAGTTATTGGGCCTTTTGGGCCAAGCCCATTGGATAAGTCCGCTAGGTAAGCCATCTTCTTTTCCTCTCCCTTTTGGGTTATTCTAAGCCCATCCCCTTTTCTTTTCTTTTTTTCCTTGGGTTGGGTCGAATCCGACCCAATCCTTTTTCTTTAGCCTAACCTGACCTCTACTCTTTTTTTCTTTTTCTTTTTTTCTCCCGAACTTAGCTATACCTAGTCTAGTCACTCTTCTCCCAAGCCTTTTCTTTTCTTTTCCTTTCCTTTCTCCTTTCCTTTTTTCTTTTTTCTTTCTTTTTCTCCTTCTTCTTTCCCCGGGCCTATGAAACTCAAAACTCAAACTTGGAACAACCTAGTCATAAGGTCCTAACTTGGAAGATATGCTTAAATACTTTAGGAAGTCCCTACAATGACCTTAGAAATGATTAAGAAGAGTAAATGAGGAGAAATTTATGTTTTTAATAGTACCTTTTTTTGTTAGAAATGGAAGGAAATGATTTTTTTTTTGAAAGAATGCACAAATAGAGTGCCTTTAGAAATTGTTATGGATTTATAAACCAAATAGAACCTAGGAAAAACTTGAATCACCTAAAAATTGGATTGAAAGCTCATAAATTCCTTCTCCAAGACCCAAAAAGAATTCGGTTTGGCAAAAATGGACGAGTGATTTTGCAAGGATGATTGATGCAAAAATAGCCTTGAGGAGGCTCACTGTGAATCTAAACACTTGTTATTGTGATTATGAGATACTTGAACCAAAATTGAAAAACCTAGAACTATTATTTTTTAAGGATCATGTATCCTATAGGGGTGCGGAATAAAACAAAATTTTTCTTCCATCTAAAGGGCCCAAGATCATGTCGCTGAATCAATTAATCATATAATCATGAATTAAAGCGTTAAATAAGAATTATCCCTTATAGTGCGGATTTAAAACCTTACGAAAAGAAGTTGTTCAACTATCCGACCTCTATCGATAATCCACACAGTCCAAGCACCACACAAAAAGCACTCAAATTTGGTAGAGTGTTAGCTTCACATTTTCTAGCTTTATTTAGTGTTTTACTTTCGAAATAAAATTAAGGTAATTTTGCGACAACCCTAAGAGAAGGGAGAGAGGTGGCATAATTTTTAGGGAATGAAGAAAACTATTTTCTCCTTATTTTTCGTAATGTTGTGTAGCCCTAAAATTTTCTCTCTTAGCCGTTTCTCTCTCTCTCTCTCTTATCATGCTTGTTGCCCCACCTCTCCTCCTATTTATAGGAGAGTTTTCCTTGTCTTCCTAGGACAAATAGAGGCGATGAGTAGTCCCGAAAAGGATTTTTGGTTATTGCTTCCTAATCCTTCAAGGATTTGGAGTTATTATGCATGTGGGGTTTTTTTATCTTATCCTTTAAAACACTCATCATTATCCAATAAGGTTCATGTTTATCCTTCCACCAAAATATCTTTCGGGATTTTAATTAAACCTATTGACCCAAACTATTTTGGCCTAATTAATTAATTTAGAATATCTAAATAAATTAAGTTAGATAATTTTAGGAGGCTCCACCTTAGGAAACAATTTTCAAAATACCCTTAAACCTAAATTAGAAAACTAATTTCCTTTTAGCTTCTTTACTTTCAAATTTGGAACCGACTTCTAAATTACAAAGCTGATTTTTAAAATATGAAACTTTTCATTTTTGAAAACTTTTTTTCCAAATTAGGAAACTTTCAAGTTGGAAACTTTTTTCAACATCATTGCTTCTTTTTATTATGTGAATACTTAAACTTATGTATGTCATCATTGCTTCTTTTTATTATGTGAATACTTAAACTTATGTATGTGACTCAACAAAATCCTAGATATGTTGTCAATATATCAAGAATAAAAGATATCTCTTTTATCTCTTAATACATAAATCAAAATTGACCTCTAGCAATGCATCATGATTATCTAATTTTCTAGGAGGATGAATTAATCTACAATTACCTCTCATGAGCATGGTTACCATACAATTCG